GACCTTAAGACCCAAAACTCACACACAGTATGCATGGGCCGCCTGTGAATAAATAAAAATAATTGGCTTCAATTATGCCTAAGCCCTTGTCTATTGCATATTGGTTAGGTACCAGGAAAATATGCATGATAATAATGATAATAACGTTTATTCAAACCTCTTCCAGAGAATGCTGAATTACAGGTTTATAAATTATCTTAACAAGAATTATGGGAGAAAAAAGGGGAAAAACTGTACAAAATGCATTAAACTACATACAAGTAAAAACAGCATGTACATAATAATGATAATAATACTAAAATGATAATTATGTGTATTATAGAAAAATGAGTATGATTAAATTGGCAGGTACTTGACTGTCACAAAGTTCTTAAAACGATAAGTGGAATTTTTGGAGTGATAGTGAGTACGAATTGTTCTTAAAATGTAGCGGTCTGAAGATTTACGAACATCGGCATACATGGCAGTATAAAGGGGGTTGTCATTATGAATATGACTTATAAAGGATTCACAAGCAGCACTACGGCGTGCATCAAGGGTTTCAATACCAGCTAGCATTAGGGTATCTGAGTACGAATGACCTGGCCAAATGATGGGGAGAGCAGGCTTCTGCACTGACTCTTAGGTCTTAGATAAGTAGGACGGTAAATTGGCAAATGTAGTAGAGGCTTACTCAAGTATGGAACGTATTAGGCAGTAATAGATGTAGACGATATCTTCCGCTGCGACAGAACTTCTCCTGAGCTGCCTTAAAGCAAACAACTCTTCATACATATGGCACTTCAGTTAGTGCCTGTGATGTGTTTTTTATAAGGTTTGATTTCTGCAAGTGGAATTGTTTATCAGTTCTGGGGTGAATCCAGGGGAGGTTTGGGTAGTTCGGTCGAACCCCCTAAATTTTCCCTCAAAATGCTGGAAATCATGTTTCTAAAGACCTAATTTTCAAAATCTCCTGGGGGAGCATGCCTTCGGAGAATTCTCCGAACCCCCCTTGACTAAATCCTGGATCCGCCCCTGTAGTTCTGTGCAATTTAAAGCTATCATCAATGGTATATACAAGAAAAGAGGTCACAGTAGGAATACATTAAGACATTTGATTGGATGACGTGTGATGCCTGATCCTCGCAGTAGAGAGGGCTATTTATGCAATAGVGAAAATCAGACCTGAAAAAAATCAGGCCTGTACGGGATTCGAACCACTGACCTCTGCGATACTAGTGCAGCGCTCTACCAATTGAGCTAACAAGCCAACTAGGAGCAGGCCGTTTAAGTTGATTCGTAATAAACCCGTGATGATAAATCAGATACAATGTATATATGAAGTTCATATATTTTGAACTGCGGTATTAGATACGTGTGATGCATGATCCTCGCACGACTTAACTGTGCTATCAATAGGATACTACTTACTGTAATGAAATCTTAAAATATAATATAAAATTAAATTAAAATGAAAGAAACTGATTTTGAGATGGGAGAAACAATGAATACTTTATAAAAATACCATTTCTGCATTAAAATCAATATGCTTCTTTCATTGTAACTCATTACACATGCTTAAGTCAAGGCAATCCAATCCCCCAATTTAAGGTAAGTATCTAAGAAAAAAATTCAGTCACAAATAGCAATGCATTTACCTTTTGCTGCCATAACTTGAGCTTTCAGCCAACAGCCAGACCTGTTTCAATAAAACAATTAGTTATTAGAATTGCTGATCAAGGCGCCATCATTCCACATGAAAGGGCTACTTAATAACTTATTGAGGCAAGATTTCCGCACAACCCCTTACTTCATTAATTATACATACAATTCTTCGATAAAAGAAAACAGAAGCAAAACAACAGATTACCTTTGGGACTTCGGCTTTGTATGGGGTTATACGGAAATCTTTCCACATAGATTAAATGTACTAATTTACAAAACGAAAAAGAAATAACTCTTCGACTCTGAACTTTGTATGGAAACACAAATTGTATTTTGTACTGTCAAACGGGGCTAAGGAGGTGTAAGGCCGGTAATCCAATACATTTATAAGATCTTAGTCAATAAGTTACAAAATTAGTCTTGTTAAAAAACACTTCCAAAGTGCGCTGTGAATTAATTTCGAAATCGAACAAACAGAATCACGACTCCGCCGTGGAGTTTAGAGAGCACGTGAGGAGAACTAAAGACACGGGTGACTTACCGAGTAAATGTAAGAACTAGTTTCTTCTAAGACGAGAGTTGGTAGTTCCCGACTATGGAACAAGATCAATCACTTTTTCAAGCAGTATGGAGAAAAAAAAAACACACGGTAACCAAACTAATGACGTCGAGCGAATACAACTGAGTTGCATAATTACCCCCTGTGGGAGTCAGGGTGGTAGAGATTTGTCTGAATAAATTAGCGCAGCGAACGCGAAGAGCCGCGAACAGTAGGATGGGTTTCCAAACTAATTTTGGTTGAAGAACCTAGAATCAGCTATCGCACGTGGCGATGGAGAGCGAATAATCTATTTTTTATAGCAACATGCTGATCGTTCAACTCTAAACATGTTTTGATTTCATTTTAATCACAACTGAAACGATGTAAACAAGATTGCAGTATTAGTGATAGATTGCCAGTAAATTTATTAAAACAAATTTATTTCTTCATCCGTGAAAAGTGCAGCATTCGAAGAAAAACATCAGTGTCATAACTGGAGTGAGCAGAGAGCAAGTATTTAATTAGGTTTCGAATACATTTGTCAAAATCCCCTCGCTTTTCAAGAGTAGTAGATAAGAAAACCTTTTTTTTTTCTTTTTAATTCTCGGACCATAAACCATGGTAATATCACATGTATGCCAGTACTTTGAAAGAGACGACAACTTTTTGTAGCTACCGTCTCCGTTTTCAAATGTCTCGTTTTGCTGAAAAGATGGTCTGCACTAACTCCCTCCATTAGGAAAAAAAAAAGGAAAATTAATAATGATAATAATAATAATAATGATAATCCCGTTGATAATCGTGCATTGATATGATCTAATCCTACAGCTTTGTTAGTTCGTAAAGTTTTCGGTTGGGTGAGAACAAAGGATTCAGTGATAGAATAATAAAAAAATTTTTTTTTTTTTGGATACATGTACAGTAGGAGTAGGTGTGTCAGACAAACTTTTTACTGTTGTGAACTGAAGACTGGAGTTTTTCTTTGATTTTCGTCCCCAGTTTGGTACGAACGGTATTCAGTTGTCTTCGGCTGGGCCTTTAGCAGAGCACAATAGAACAATCACTAACTGCGGAATGGGCTACACCGCGCCGCCTAAAAAGGCAATTTTCGATCTCGCTGGCAGTTTCGAAAGTGAGTCGTTCAGTGCATCAATGAATAATTGTCTCAGAACAGACGTCAGGTGGTCGGCTACATATACAACCAATAAACAATTTCTTACCCTTAGGGCGATTCAATTAATCAAAATTAATCAACATCTCTTTGAATTCATATTTCACTTCTTGTCCATGCCACCTAACAAAGAGGAAAAATAACCGCAGGTGCACCCTTGTACGAATTGATTGGAGCTGAAAGTTGCTCCTTTTGATTCTAATCAGCCAATCAGAGCGCCCCATTGCACTTATTTTGCCCATTGTGCGCTTTTATCGGGGTCCTCGTGCAAGCTGAAGGAAACATTCGTAGACGTCCAAGATGTTAAGCTGGCTCCTTTTTTGCTCTCTGGCAGGCTTGCAAGCTTCTTACGGGACGTATGTTCCCATCTGCCGGCAGGCAATTGAACGGAACACATCTAGCCCAGAACTGCCCACCTTTCCGCCGGCATTCTCTACCTCCGTAGAGGTAAATATCGTCAATAAGAACTATACTGCCATTTACAAGGAATTCTATGACCTAGCTGCAAATAAGGGTACCTTGCAGCGAACGAGAGATGGAAAGACAACGCTATCTATCTACGACTACAGTTTAGACGAGAGAATCGATGTGGACGTGGGTGCGAAAAATTGTTCCGTCTCTTCCATTTATGCAGGACCCCGTCATTTTAATTTCTTTGGAAACAACCACTCGCATATCGAAAGCGTCTCACAGTTGTTTCATTTTGCGAAGAGGTTTAACGAAACCTACATGGGTGTTGTGTCCATTCGAGGAATCAAGTAAGTGCATGGAACATTTTTACTAAAGTAAATGGTTTCCTGAGCCGAGCTGGACCTCTTATCTTTACAGCAAAATAAACTTGAAATGAAAATGAAATTCAAGTAACACATGGCTCGAGACTTAATCTTAAGCAGGTATTTCACTTCTGAAACAGGTTTCATGCCATGTATCTCAGTTTTAATCCGTTAGTTTTTAAGGTTAACTGCAGCTGAGGAGAAAAATAGAAACTAGCTAAGTCCCGTGATAGGAGACTTTGTTTGTTACGTAAGCATCGCTAAGACTTATTAAACTAATGAGCAGGTCTTTCACTTCCAAGTTTACGTTTCATACTTTGTGTCTCAGTTTTAATCCGTTAGTTTTTAAGGTTAACTGCAGCTGAGGAGAAAAATAGAAACTAGCTAAGTCCCGTGATAGGAGACTTTGTTTGTTACGTAAGCATCGCTAAGACTTATTAAACTAATGAGCAGGTCTTTCACTTCCGAGTTTACGTTTCATACTTTGTGTCTCAGTTTTAATACGTTAGTTTTTACAAACTTAACTTCAGCTGAGGAGGATGACGTGCCGAAGTGAGTTAGCACCCGTGATATTAGACTTCGAACGTACTTAAAGATGAGACACAAATATCAATAAAAGCAGCCATGCGTGGAAGAGTGTTGCAACTGTTGGCCTATGTTATGGAGCAATTTCATACGAAAGTGGTCGGCTTTCAAATTGGATTTTCTCTTCCCTTCTGTTAATGTTTTTGTTAATACAGGGCTTGAGCTCATTGATATGTCAGCTATGAGGAACCCTTCGTATGTTCTTGACCCAGTATGCTTTTAATATATTAGTCACGTGAAAAGTCGAGCATCAGCGACATTTTCAAAGCAAACCATTAACCTAGTGTTTTGATTACTAACCAGAAATGACACAGCATTATTAAGGTCATGCCATGTGACTTAATGATTCTTCTTCACCCAAGCAGAAATCATTAATGATTCATTTATAAAGATAAGAGACATCTGCATTGTTTTTGTGTTTACACCCTTTAGTCCCTAGCTCGTATCAATTCTCGATCTGTACTAGTGTCTGACATGCAGTCTTATGCCCCATTTACACCAAAGCTTAGACATGTTTTATTGCTGTTTTGTTAAACATGGTTTGGAATATATTGTGAAATAGGTTGTTGTTATTCATTGTGGTAACTAACACTTTAAAGGGAAATGTAATTATTTTTCTCATGATGTATTCACTTGAGATGTGGATCACAACATTTTGACCACATACTGGTAGTCTTCTTCCATCAGTTGAGGTAGAATTCCATGGCAGTGATTGGTGCACCAATCACAGTATATACAGGTGACACGTACTCAGTCGACCTCATTGCCTGAAGAAGACCAGCAGTATGCAGTTGAAATGTTGCAATCTACATCCCAAGGGACCACATTGTAAGAAAAATGACTACTTTCCTCTCTCAAAATGGTTTGGAATTGCTTAAAATCTTTCTTCAAGCTGTTTAAATCAATTTTTGTTGACTTTAAATTTATGCACAATGCAATTAATTTTATTTTGTGCGTCTGAGTTTAACTCAGATAAATGATAAAAATTTCCTTTTTGCTATCCATTGAACAATATTTTCATTGAAATCTATTGAAAATAAATGCTCTTTTTCTTGTACAAAAATGTAAACATCAGTCACTTATTGTCCCATTTCAACCCACTCATCCAAAAAAATAACTCTGGCATGCATTGCTTTCCTACATTTTCATAAATCAAGTTAAGTTCTGATTTAAAGGTTTAAGACTCAGTATATCTTTGAGAAGGGTTGGGAGTAAATTAAGGTTAGCTTTTTGTTTTGGATAGGTTTTATATTAACATTAACTTTCTCAGAGGGCTACAGTGACATGTATCTGATAGATTTGGTATTGGTGCCTTCTTGTGTTCCCATTGGATAGCATACTTGTATGTAGTTACTGGGAAGGTAATATATTGCTAATTAAAAATGATTTGCTTACAAATTCGAGTACTGCTTTATTGAAGTTTGCCTTATCTAACTTTGTCTTTTCAGATGCAATCACTGGAGAGCTTGCGTGGTGCATAATAACAGTTCATACAACTTGGACTACTTTTTTTCAGTGCCAGGTTGGAAAACAAGTTGGCCAAATGCAACAGTGGTGCGTGCTGTTATTAATGGTACATCTAGCAGGCGGGGTGCTCTGCATGATTTTTATCATGTTTATGATTTTTTCAATTTTCGGCCTGGTTCCCCTAACCCTTCTGAATTCCAGCTTCCTAGTGGATATTTCTGTGTAGGACTCAAAGGTTTAAACAAGACTGTCCCTAAAGTCCCTCCAGCATTTACTGTGAACTTTGAAATGGTTTTCAGAGGCACCAGGGGAAACAGAACTTTTTATGTTGATTCAAACTGGCAGGTATGGACATTTGTCATTAATGTGTACTGTATACTGATACACTTTATTTATTGATTGAAAATGTTCATGATTGATAATTAATATGTAAATTATATTTTATTAATTCAATCATTGAAATTCATTTTTTATATTTTTTATTCGAAGTTTTACCATAGTTTTGTTGATTACTGTGAACTATTTTTTTTTTACTTTTGCTGATGATAATTAGGTTTCTAGAATTATTTGTTGATCAAAATTGTGCCAACAGCAGTGGGTCTCTTTTTCCAGATAATTTGTGGAAATACTTTTATAAGAGCACCAGTCTTTATCTGTAAGACAGGGTCTGACATGCTTTAGCTAAAAATCAAGGAACTGGATTTGCACAATTTTGTGGAAGTTACTAAAGGTAGAGCAAAGCTCATACTTATTAAACATTAACCCATTAACGTCCAGTGCGCCCGTATGCGCCCATGGGGACCCACACCCTTTCTACGCCCTGTGACGTCATCAATTTTAACTCTGGAGCACGAATTCGAGCATGTACTTGAACGGGTTGAAAATATCTTGCAGACGATACCAGAATGAGCGCAATTGAGTGGAGGAGATTGGAGAAATAGCCAAAAAACCGTGTCACTTTGACTGGAAAATCTGCACGAAGATCGTGTTTCACTACCCACCTACCTTTCCGAGCATGTGCTTTGAAAATAATGAGTAGTTTCTGAAAAATCTCTACACCAAAATGAAGCCTACTCAATTTCCAGCAAGTGAGGAGAAACTTTAGGCAAGGAGAGGGGAAAAAAAGGGCAGGAGAAAGAGAGGAAAGTAGAAGTCGTAAGTGGGGCGTGACTTTTCAACCCAAGAACTATGTCTAAATTTTGCTCTCTGCGCGTGCCCGAGATTTTCAGGCCGCCATTTTGCATTTGCATCGAAAGGCCGTCGAGTGCACGAGCTGTCAAGTGGTTTTTGGTAAGTTCGAGCTTTTAAAACCCCAACAGTGACCCGAAATCTGCTGGACTAGCTTCAAAACACAGTTTTCCACAAAAGCTGCGGCCGTTAATGGGTTAACAGAAAAAATATTTTCTTTTAACATAACAGGAAATTTACGATCTCGAGAAGAAACTTTTCTTGTTGAAGCACCCAAACTGGTTTAGTCATGGTCAAGTTGTAACAGTCCATGATTTCAACACAGGAATTTCTTATAATATATCAACTGGCAAGTCTGGACCAGTTTGCAAAATATCTGCTTTATCCTCCTTGATACATGCTGTGGATGTGCATAGTGATGGACACCACCACATTCGCATGAAGACAACTCATGAGTTGTTTAACACCCCTCAAAGAAATGGGTCGTCTCCCCTTATTTACAAAGGTTCTACTACTGTGCGTGGTATTGATGTAGACATCTGGGTTGGAAAGGGCATGATAAAAAACAGGACTACAAATGAGTCAACTGAGGTGATTATAACACAGTTTTTGCAATGAATTTATCTCTTTGTTTCTCCATTTTAGCATCAAATCAAAAGTCATTAGTCATCATGTTATTATTAAAACTTCTGTTGTTGTTTCAATTGAAGGTGATCGATGCCTTTACAATTTGTAACAGAATCACAGGGGCAAGCAATTCTAATTAATGACAGCAAAAACCTACTAGTTGATTTATTTTAAGGCAATTTGTAATTTGATATTGTTTGATATGTATTTTGCATTTAAAGGAGTGGTTACCTTTTTATTAAGGGAGTTATTAATGCATGTGCCTTTAAAAACTTTGTACATTTTTCGGTTATCTTCTGAACAACAACAGTGTAAAATCACTGAAATTTGTGTGGTCTGTGCTGGAACCCCAATGGCAAATGATTTAAGTTTCCTTTTTGAAACTAATGTAGTTCACATAAGCTGGGGCGGATCCAGGGGTGGTTCGGGTGGTTCAGTCGAACCCCCTAAATTTTCCCTCAGAGCGCTGGAAATCTTGTTTCTGAAGACCTAATTTTCAAAATCTTGGACCTCTCAGAAGGGGAACAATTCTCCGAACCCCCCTTGACTAAATCCTGGATCCGCTCTAGCATAAGTTATGTTGAAGTTGAATTGTGGGGTTGTATTACTGTAAACATATCTAGCCAGTTGCAAAATTCTAACAGAAAACTAATTTTTTAATGGACATCTTCCTCCGATCCGGGTTGCCAACTACTGAAGGTCCCTTACTAGTACTGATTGGCTGCTGCAAACTTCTGAAGTATAAAGTCAGGCTACCTTTTCAAACTAACGATCAGAAGTAAAACTGGGGGGAGAACTGAATTAGAATTGACTGACTCCTACAATGTTGACATTTAATTTAAAATCATCAAGGACTTACTTTGCATTACCAAAGGTAATTGTATTTTACTTTATTATATGGCTGTGTCTCACAAGACTGGGAACTACTGAATTCACAGATTTTATTGGCTGAAATCAATATGTGACCCTCCACAGGATTTCCAGCATAATGGTGATAACACGGGCACGCGTGCGATGACACACCCCGCTAAGAGTGATATGTGACACGCATATGCACATTTATTAACAAGGAAACAAAGAGTGTCACGGTAGCTTTTGTTTTTCACGTCTTAACATGCTCAATCTTTTATGCAACTGAAGAGGTTAGGCAAGAAAGCCTTTAGTTTTAGAAGTTGCTCCGCATATTGAAAGAATGGTAGCGAAAAAGACAGCTTATGTAAAAAGTTCTTCCTAAGACAAATAATGCTTTCACTGTACGGACTTCAAGCAGGGCCTAGCGACGGTTTGAAGATTCGATGGCCCGCTAAATATTATGTTCGAGCAACAATGTGTTCAAAAAGTATTGTTTAATAGAGGATTTTGCGTCAAATCAAAGTTTTTCAGAATTTTCAATGTAACGCTGCGCAATTTCTGGCCATGAAGGCAAGTAAACAACGATCTGAGCATGATGAATTTTACCGTGTGGGCTTTGTACACGTAAAATTTGCATATTCCCATTTGAAATATGATCCACAGGCTCATTTGCACACATGCGAAAATATTTAGCGATTTTTACCTTTTATCTTGACTTTTGATAGAAAACGAAATAAGCATCTATTGCTTTTTTTGACGAAAATAAGTTCTTTAATAGTCTTCTTTCACTGGAGCTTGTTTTTTGGAAAAGATGATTTCTAAAAATTTACTGCACGTTGTGTTTGCTTTCTTGGTTTCTCCAAAATTGTGACTTTTCGTAGGCACGTGTTAGATCGTATTACATGTAAGTGTCAATGGGTTAAACTCGATCTTGCTATAAATTTCGGCGTTTTGAGAAGAGAAAAATGGGTTTGGTGTGACAAATTGTGATTCATTGGAAGATAACAGGTGAAGTTTACAACATGAGTCAGCGATTCGATGATGAAAATAAGTTACGAATTAATGCAGTATCGCAGAGGTCAGTGGTTTGAATCCCGTACAGGCCTGATTTTTTTCAGGTCTGATTTTCGCTATTGCATAAATAGCGCTCTCTACTGCGAGGATCATGCATCATACATAATGCAGGTTTTGCTTTATTGGAGATAGTATAATTTTTCGCACGTGCAATCTCTTACAGATGTTTTGATCTGACATGGGTATTATTAACACGCGTGATATTTTGCACACCAAAGTGCAATATGACACGGCATAACACGGCTTTTGTTTTCGAACCCTTTAACAAAAGAAAATTTTAGTAAGGAGTGCATTGTGACACGCTGCTACTGTGTTAGCGAAAATTTCTTTTGTGTACCGTGCTAAAATAGTGTGCCCGTGTCATCACCATTATGCTGGAAATCCTGTGGAGGGTCACATATTGAAAGCGGTCTAGATTTTCCCATCTAGACCGGCATCTAGACCGGTCTAGAAAGAAAAAGGTACAAAGGTTATAAAAAATTGGCAGATAAGACACAGCCATATAATAAACATCTTATTAACTGAGCTAGCTTAGTCTGTATGGGAGAATCTTGACCTCGGTTGCTGGTACAGACCTCACTGTGTTTGGTCTGTACTGGCAACCTCGGTCAAGATTCTCCCATACAAACCTCCCGCTTAGTTGATAAGAACGAAGTAAAAATAGTCATAACCATCTATACAATTTAAATTGAGGGCAGTCATTCACTTTATTTGACTGTTTAGGAAAAAGATTTAGAACATTTTCTGTTAGAAGTAACTAGGAATAATGGTTTCATTGGTCAATAATTTTTTTCCACTCTGTTCTTTTGTTTTGATTAATAGGTTATCCAAGAGTATTTCTTCTCAAAACCAAAGTGGATCTTCATGGCAGGATCACAGCTCTTCCAAACCCAGGTCCCTGTCCGCCTGGATATGTACACTTCAGATGGACAACACTATATCTTCAACATGTTCAATTTTGATACTGAGGCTGCAGAGACAACAGCCTTTGACATTAAACCTTGCTTCAATTATAGTGAACAACGTTATATTCAGTTCAACCTTGATGGTCAGTGTTTTATATACTTAGTCTAACTACTGTATCAGGGGTCTCATTAAGTTTTGAAATATTAGGCCTAGATACTCCTAGGAGAATAGAGCTGAAGGCAGGCAGAAAATGTCACTTTACATGGACCACTTTCTGTCTTGTATCACTGAGTCTGTCATACCCAATTTGCACAGAAAGCACTGCACCACATACCATAGAAAATTTCTGGTAGCCGGCCGTCAAGCCAAGAAAATTTGGTTTTGATGTTGCTTTGCACTGTTGATCCCCTCATTGATACAGCATTCATGAAAAACTGCAGGGTGGGTGCGTTGCAGAGGTAAAATGTAAGCAACTGTGGAACAATTTGTATTTTCACATTTCTTTCTACTCAAGAGAACATTTTTGGGAAGTCCAAATGGAAGGCAAAGTAATATGTTAAAGAGTATGCACATCTTCAAAAATAGTACATGCAAGTTGAAAATGGAGAAAAAAGGAATTAGTAAGTTGGACTGGAGCAGCTAAATAAAATACGTAAGACATAGAGGGGTAATCATTTAATTGTAATTTTAATTACTGTTGATGAATTACGTATCACATTTTTTACTCCTTTAGGTGATTATGTAAAGTATGCTGCCTTAAGCGAGTTCAGGTTATTGCTCAGCAAGACCATCAGTAAAGCAGCAAATGTGTCAATTATCAGAGTTAATGGATTGAGGGTAAGTAATTGGATGGTGTTTGCTGTAGACAGTGTCAGTTGGCACTATCGGCCAACGCTTGGCCGATATGTTGGCTAAGTAGCGGCTAACACTCAGCTGATGTATTGGTTGAATATTGGATGAGTTCTGGTTGAGTACTGTAATTTCTGGCCATTTACCCGCATGGCCGATTACCCGCACCAGCCGATTATTGCATGCAGCAAAATAAAAGTCAACAGATTACCTGAACTGGTGGATAACCTGCACCTTAAATACAAAGGAAATTTGTACAAATGTGCTCAAGAATTCACAACGTTGCATACTTGACAGAATGCGAATTGGTGGCCACATTTTGTGCGAACTATCGTTCAGTGCCATGTTGATTTCTCAATAAAATCAATATCTCTGGTTCTACTGGGCCTAACAAGTCCCTTAAACGGGAAAATTCTTTCCAGCTGAAGCTAGTGTTAACTGGAAATTTGTTACTGATGCGCCAGTTATCCTCGGTTTGTTTTTGTCACCATCAAGGTTTTGTTTACATGCATGCCGATAGTAATTTTTTCGTCATGCAACGAATGACGTAATTTCTGGCGTGAAATTGTTCGTGAAATAAACTTGAGTCGGCATCATGTTTTAGAGGTGCTTTGTGGCACTCCCAATACAATAAAATTCATCTGAGAGGTGGAAACGCAGGTAGGTGAGAATTTTCTTCAATTCAACTGCCAGTAGATTTCAAAATTGTCACATAACCCACACCTCCCTATTACCCGCAGTGGCGCGTGTTTAAGGCAAAATCAACAGATTACCCGCGGGTAAACGGCCAGAAATTACGGTATCAGTCCTGAATCGGTCAATATGTCAGCTGATACTCATCTGACACGGTTGATATATGACTCAGTGGAGTGTCAGCCACTACTCGGCCAACATATTGGCCAAGTGTGTGCTGATAGTGTTGATGATCTATCGGTATGCTATAGGCAAGCTATCAGTTGACTATCGATGAACTATCAGCAAGCTAATTTGTTCTAGTAGGCAGATAATTCCCCAAATTATAAAACTTGATAAAATATTTGACATTCTCTTTTATTTCAAAGCTCAAAAGTTAAAGATATCATAATTAAGATATCATCAGGAAATTAACAACTGACATATCGAACAATACTCAACTGACATTTGGTAGACCAAGTATCGACTGAGTATCAGGAAGGTATTGGCAAACCATCAGTAAAGTATTGATAAGAAATTGGCCAAGTGTTGATGGGATTAAATTGGCCAAAGCATTGGCCAAAGCATTGGCCAATACTCAATCAGCACTCAATCGGTACTCGACCAACACTTGATCAGTGTGTCACCCAAGTGTCAGCCAACTAGCGGTCAATGTGTCGATCAATATATTGACTGTTAGTGTCGACTGACACTACCTACAATAAATGTGATCCAAGTAATTAAGTATATATGGCTTATAAGAGTATTTATGACAGGTGAATATAGTGGTGGATGTTTTCTGAGCCATGAAGCCACAAGGTAAGCATCCACCACTTTTACTGATGCTGAGATGAATATAATTGTTTGAGTAGATGCTTCACAAGAACCAAAAATTATTTTGTCTTTTAGGCTACTTGGAGGCAAAAATTACTAGTTACTTCCTTCTTAACTAGCCAATCAGCATGCACAAAAGGCATTATTTACCTGGGTTATAATGTTCATCTATATAGTAATGTTTAATAATTGTTGGATTTTGGATTTAGTGAGCAACAATTGGAAACCTTTATTATGTGAAAAGCTGGTGCCACCTAAAGTCTTATAAGCTTGAGTGATATTGCCATTGAGAAATATTTGATGTAAAACATAATGTGCTAATGTTATGCTACGTTGTCACCATTTCAGTTGCTGAACAATGAGGGTAAAATGACTGTTGTTTTCATTTTTCTGAACAAAACAAAGCCTGTTGTTGATGCAGAGGTTACAGTGTATCCTGAAAACGGTCTCATGGATGCAGTGGGTGCCTTAAATAAAACAGTTACAAGTGGAGAATTCAAACTTAACTTCCAAACCAGTAAGAGTGCTTTTCTTTTAAATGTTTATTTTTAACACCACAGAATAAAATTTATATGACAGAACGGAGAAAAAATTAGAAGCTCTAGTCAAACTTCTTCTAAATTTGATGTGGTAACTGTAAAAATTGCGCTATGCTATTAATGGCAAGTTTCCGACCAATGAAAATGCAAGGAAATTATTGTTTGTGACTGGTTATCAGCAGCCCCTTTTCATGCAATTGGACAGTGTTTCATTAAATGTACTGCTTATTCTTCATAATATCAGACTGTTTTAACATACACTCTAGACAAAATTTGCTATTTTTTCCCTTAAAGAAGGTGGGAAATTTTTAACTTTTTGTTTTAAGTTATGAATTTTATTGTTTTTTTTGTTTTATTGCTTTGCTTGCTTCAAGTTTGGTCTTTTATCAATGATACTAGTGATAAGCAAATTGGACTCCCATTTAGGTTTTATCAGACTTCGTGTCACTTTCATATGGCTGACTGAATTGGACTCCAATGGTTGCTCTTAAAGAACAGTTGCCCTCCACCAACAGTCAGCCAACTGTTAATCAAGTGTTGGTATTCATTCAGTTTAGTGTTGGCCAACTGTTGGCTGACAGTTTGCTAACTGTCGGTGGAGGGGAGCTGTTCTTCATGATTACTGGTCCTAGCACCACCTTTAATGATTGTTCTTGTTGAAATTAACTGAATAATCTTTTGTGTTATTTATCCTCTCTTCTGTTGGGTTGAAGCTTCAAAGTGTGTAGCACCAAAGAGTAGGATTTGTAGCTAACTAAAATGCAAACATCAATCTACACAATATATTTATAAGTAAAATCTAATCTGTTTAGCAGCTTTCACTCACCAGTACTTGATGACTGTTATTTCTTGAAAGAACCCATACAGGCTGAGAAGTCTTCATTCCGAGAAGGCCTGGTGCCAAAAACTCCTCCTTCTCCAGCCAGTCCAACAGACAAACCCTCAAGCAAACCAGGCCCAGGGCACAAAAGTGAAGTCAAAACAAAGGGTCTGTCAAGTGGTGCTGCAGCTGGAATTTCAATCCTCATGCTAGTTGTTGGAATATTTGGAGGCTTGGTTATTGCACATGTGATTATGAAGCGCCGTGGAACAAGCTTGTTCCAGTATCAGCGTCAGGAATAGGTGTAGTCGTGTTTAGTATAACCTCTTCTGAACTACTCCTTTGTGTTGAAATGTTTTGTTTTGTTTGTGTTAATGATGAGCATAATTTAGTTTGGTCCAGTATAGGGTAAGGATCTATAGCTCTGGTCTGGTTTAATTGTTTAAGGATTTGAGATACAGTAAAAGTAAGAAGGGAAGGGAAGTGACCAAGTCACTGCTGATCTTAGTTTTAAATGGATTGGCTGAGAAGCTTCTCTACATTGTAAGATTCTGGAAGAATCAATCATGTTAGCTATGTTTTATTAATTTTCTAAATTACAATGGAGTAGTAATAATGGAAGTAAAGAACCTTTTTTAATGATTAACTTAATAGTTACAAGTTGATTTAGATGGTTCTACATGGAACCCAAACTTAGAGCCAATCCTTAACTCCTACAATTCACAAGGTTGAACTGAATATTGATTCTCTGTACTCTCTGCCATGAATTTCTCCAAGCTTTAGCATTGGTTATTTTGGTCACAATTCAAACAATATCCTGTGGCTGATATTTTTCAGGCATCAATCTCTATCAGCATTCTCCCTTAATATTTTGATACTGCAAAGAAATTGTTGTTTTTGTCTCTCCTGGGGGTGAAACCTGGGGTTTAAATACATTGATGGGAGAATTTGTTCCCTTAGCTTTTTTAGCTTAGTTCAGCAATTTGTGACTTGATACAACATAATTATATGACTGCAGTTGTAAGATGCTAGCACCAATGTATTGGTAAGATCTAAACTTGTCTTAAAAAAGAAGCAAGCTATTTAATCATTCAAGACATGCAATTTTTCACCTTTGTATTGCACCTGTGCACTTCAGTCTTCTGAAATTTATATCAATAAATGTATAGTCGCATTGAAGTACGAACAGGTAAACATTCTCACTGACTCTAAAGTTCATACAATGCAATACCCAGACTTAATTCATTGTAGAATAGCTAACATACTGTACTGTAGTAAATGTCTGCCTCTGTTCATTTTATAAAACCTTGTAGTGGTCAGAAGTACAAGATTGAAAAATATCAGCATAGATATTTTTATTTATTACTGAGCAGTTACTGTTCATTAATTATTTTGACACCATCTGGGAGGAAACAACGTTTTTCTAAATAAGTAAATAAAGTGTAAGTCAGTTGCATAATGTAATCAGTCGGCAAATATGTGTGATTAAATTTTAAATGAAAATTTGGGAAGGTGATGTTTATGCTTGTCAAAGGGTAACTAGGTTTGATACCAATGAATGGAAGAAGGTTGAATTCTCATCATTCTGTTCCTGTTTTTTGTTTATTATTCCCACCTGTCCCCCTTATCCTATCTTTAAATGTCAGCTACTCAAACCTGCAGCTCATGATAGGAGTGCATGGTTGGGGTGGCTTTCACTGAATGAATATAGCATGCATTCATGAGGAACTGATAGCTCATTTCGTTGGCTGGTATTCACAAAATGTATGTAATTATGGGTGACAAAGTAAAGTGTTTGACTAGGATTGTTTCCACTCTTAACAGCTGCAATTTGAGTACAAAATTTACCTGACTGACAAGTGAGACAATCTAATATAAATTTGTGTGTTGAACAATCTTTTAATGCAATTGATTTATATTGCAATGTGTCAGTAAACACAGTTCATTGGAACAGCTGAAAACATATCCAATTTGTGGTGTAAATCAATGAAATGAAAGGCTGCAAAGTTCTCCAATCAAGTCGTGATCATGCACTGTTACATCTGAATTTTAGGACCACTTGTTGACCCTGCATTGCACTTACCTTTTTTCACGTTGGGTACACTACTTTCGTTCTAAACTCGGTCTTCGCAGAGCCACCAGTCTTACTTTTAACTACAGCCAAGTAGGTTCGAAGCGACCGATCCAAGTAACATGATCAATTCGTCCACAGTCCACAAATCCATTCCAAATGTAATCTTTGTTCCTAAAACATAGATACGAGGCTTTAGGTCACGTGGACCATTTTTGGCGGCCAGAACTAGCCGTCCTGTAGGTCAATCCAATTCTCCAAAGGTTAGACATTTTACGTCTAAGTTGAGTTTTGAATCAAAGAAATGAGAAATGAACCTTTTTATGAACGACTGGTAAACCGTTTGACACTTTGTACTAGCTGGAAATACGGGTGAATCAAGCAAAATCTCAGGAAACTAGTGGTTGTGCCAGCCTCTATCAGTGTTTCATCGAAAATGGAAGATTTTCAACAGTCTATCAGCGGTTCGACTAACAAAGAAGTGAAAGAACTGCCTCAAGGTAAGCTTTCCTTAAAAGACAGCTGTGCTCTCTAAGCTAGACAAATACTTCATTGGTACTAATTAACGTACGAGTTTTTTTTTTTGGTCGATGGCCTAAACCACTGATTCTTTTAAACAGTCAGAGGCTTCAGTTTCTTAAAGAATTAACTCTTCGCTACCGTCTCCTGTTTGGTAATTCCCTCGCTCACGTATCTTATTATCTATCGTTATAGGAGACCCAACTTCGACAAGTTTCACTGAATTCCAAAATTTAGATATGGGTTTAACTTGTTCTGCTGAACAAGTTTCTGATGCAGACACGGTAAGTTTTGTATGTACGATAGGTCATAAGCTTCTGTTCAAACTTTACTAACGAAGTGGTTAAGGTTATTTAGCGTAGACGTTTGTTGACGAGAAAGCGCGAGTTCCCAAACAAGTTATTAAACCATAACCGAATTTCACGCCCGGAATATTGACTCAAATGAAAATGAAAAAGGAACTGAAATGAAGAAGGAAGTGAAGGATTATGCTGTTGTTTACAATGTTAATTTGATTTCTTTGATCTTCTCTGTTACAGCAACAGTTTCTAATGAATTTGCTTCAATGTCACAACTAGGAGAAAGAATGAAATGTGTTTTTCATTGTCACTACCTTTAGAATCCCACAGGAGCTAGATTTTCATTCTGTGCCAATCATTCAAGTCAGGAGATTTCAAGCGTCCAAGGTATGGCTGAAAACTATTTGGAAATTTCAGGTACAATGCCTTTTCAATGAAACTATTTTGGTGTGTGTTTATAGGCAAACTTCTACGGACCACTGATATATCAGTTTGTACACTGTTACATGTTTTACTCTTTGTAAATACATTGATTATTATTATTATTACTGGTATTACTGATATGTTTACGTAGCCTTGTAAAAAGTAACCAAAGGATCTAAAAAATAACAGAAAGGCCTTAACAGATTTTGCCCTTTCTTATTTATTATTTCAAAGATCACAGTGTACCTTGTAGTCAGTCAGTTTTGACCATATCAATGCCATCACCCATGGCTGCTTTGGTTCCAATGACAAACAATGATTCACCAGTGCAGCAATTACAGGAGCAAGCTTTATCACCAACTTCAGGATTCTTCTTAAAGAAGGAAGATCTTGATCACAATGATGCCATTCCTGCTGAATACCAGCTTATAAACTATATCAATGAAGAGGAAAGGAGTAATGATTGTTCTTTCACATTCAACCAAGAAAATGTTTGCACTGCAGTCACTGATGATGACTCTTGCGATGGCAGCTCTATGCAAACCATGAACGATTCTGCCCGTGCCTTTAATGAACAATACAGAGTGAAAAGAGATGTGGGAGAGACTTTCCCTAATGTTCCAGCAGAAGCTTTTTCTCCAGATGCATTCTTATCATCTATTCCAATGTTTTTCAAAATTAGCCAAAAGAGACCAGCTACGATACTTCCCAAACTCAGCACCACAGATCCCTCCCGTTATAGTCAATATGAAAATGCAGATCAGTGCTATTCCTCACCAACTGCTGGAGTGGTTGAACCCAGCAAAAAATTATACTCTGCTCTCTATATGCCTGGCAAAAGCCAAGGTGTTCCTATTGCACCCAAACCACGTCCAAATGAAAAAGTTCCCTGTTGTGTGCTTGTGGTTCCAGCTCCACTTTATTATGAAAATTTTGCTCCACTTGAAAGTCTTCAGATGCAGCAAGAACAACATGAAGAGGTTGTTGACTTTGTACCATCCAGAACTCATATGGTAGTAACAGAAAATACAGTGGCACCTGAAGGTAGAAAAATTTCTAAAACTAGTGTAAAAGTAAAGCTATTGCTTCATTTATTGTTGTTTTCTTTCATTTCATTGTTTTGATCACCGTATCACAAAATATGAGAGAGGTGGTATGTCTATGCTTAAAATGAAACTGAAAGTGATGGTCCTAAAAAAACTTTCTGCTACAATGTTTAACGTTTTTTAAGGTGTTTATTTACTATGGACTGATCAGTGAGGAAAACATGAATTATGTACCCATTCTTTATAAGGAGGCAGCTCCTTGCAGAATACAGAGTTTGAGCATCATTCAATGCAGTGGAATGTACACCCTCCAAACCCAGCTAGAACACCATTACCTTCAACTATCCTGCGAGTGTCACCAAGTCCTCATGAAGGCAGCAAATCCTCCCCCATTATCACTGTCTCCACTTCATCAACTCCAATCCAACCATTACAAGGCAGAAAACAACAGTATGTCATTGCACAAGGAAACAATCGACACTTAAAGGGATTATCAATGTACAAAGACAGCTTGACAACTCCCACAGGAGAAGAAAATCATCAACCTATTTATCTGCAAGGTACTGTAAGATGATATGAGCTTCCTTCACTTAAGAAACACTCAAACATTTTCTTTACCCAGTGCTTCTGTTACTTCCGAATTAGAGAGAGTACAGTTGTGTGGGTCAGGCATTAGTGACATTTTAAAAACACTTTTTTTAGGCCTACCGCCTCAAGGGTTTAGAAGACTACTGAAGAATAAAGAAGGCTCTGTCTCAGAGAGAACCACAAAGGTGAACTAGCTTTGATATTTAAGAGAAATTAGCATGAACCCTGGGGTAGCTATAAATGTTATCTTCAACCAGGCCTTGGTTTACATCAAAAGTTTACGAACTGATTTGTTACATGTTTTTAGAGGTCACTGGCGCCACTATTCTCTGAAGTTTCAACCTCATCTTGTCGAGAGGCAACAGTTCCTCAAATGGAGAAGTCTCCACTTACATGCATAAAGATCAAAGTACCTCGTGAGATGAACATTCCTCAGACTGAAAGAACGGTGAGGGTTTTTTTTTTTTTTTGGCTACGAAGTAGCAAATTGTGTAAGTTTTGCTTGCAAAATATTTACTAATTATACAGAGGAAGCCATCTATGTGAAGCAATTCATTTATTAGAGCCTTTCGATCGTACATCGTGAAACCAGAAGCAAAGTAATCACAGCGGCCAATGAAGAAGATATCCGTGCAAATGTCGGAAATCGTGCGTAATATTGTGATCATTAGTCGTTTGTGAAGGTGTAGTCTGATCGTCCGGGTGAGTGTAGTCCTGAGAAAGACTGTTGTCGGTGGTAGTGACTGACGTTTCGACAACCTGTGCGGAAGTCATCATCAGAGTCAAGTGAATGATTGTTATCAGTAGAATGTTCTTATTCCAGTTCGTGTGAAATGATCGGTTGGTTTTGCCGTGATGTTATTGGCTGTAAGACTCAAGTGACGTAAGTCGGTCGTGATTGGTCTGTTTCGATCTGTCGGTTTATCATCTGTCGGTTTCATCTATCGGTATCATCTATCGAGCGGTCGGTTTATCAGTTATCTTCTGTTTAGTATTCTACAACCTTTTATAGATAATTTGATTTAATCAAATGGGTTGTTGATGTAAGTTCGCCACAGCTGACGTTTCGAATATTGTCGAAGGTCTAAC